TCCCCACCCCACTGAACCCCACCCCGCCGTGGGTACCGCGTGGAATCTCTCGTAGGAAGGGTCCCCGGGCTGGGGGGGGTCCATGACCACGTCCAGGACCACCTGCCCGGGCACGGGGGGGCAGAGCCGCACGGACACCAGTTTGGCCAGCTGCTCCTTCACCAACGGGTCCAGGTTCACCACCTCCATGTACCCCCCCCGCAGCCCACACCTGGGATTGGGATTGGATTGGGATTGGATTGGGATTGGGATTGGGATGGGAACAGGTTCACCACCTCCATGTACCCCCCCCGCAGCCCACACCTGGGATTGGGATTGGGATTGGGATGGGAACAGGTTCACCACCTCCATGTACCCCCCCCGCAGCCCACACCTGGGATTGGATTGGGATCAGGATCGGGATTGGGATGGGAACAGGGATGAGGGCCCTGCTGGAACCCCGGGGTGGGCAGTCATGGGTGGGAACCCACGGACAGGGACTCATGGGGGGGATCCATGGATGAAGGCCCAGGGATGGGAATCCATGGATGAAGGTTCAGGGATGGGAATCCATGGATGAAGGTCCAGGGCTGGGGATCTGGGATGGGAATCCACGAGTGGTAACTTCCATGTGGGATTCATGGATGGGACGTGGCATTCATGGGGTGGTGGCAGCTCCAATCCCAATCCCAATCCCAGGGGATCCATGGGGTGGGGGTAGCTCCAATCCCAATCCCATCCCAGGGGATCCATGGGGTGGGAGCAGCTCCAATCCCATCCCAGGGGATCCAAGGGGTGGGAGCAGCTCCAATCCCATCCCAGGGGATCCGTGGGGTGGGGGCAGCTCCAATCCCATCCCAGGGGATCCAGGGGGTGGGGGCAGCTCCAATCCCATCCCAGGGGATCCAGGGGGTGGGGGCAGCTCCAATCCCATCCCAGGGGATCCAAGGGGTGGGGGCAGCTCCAATCCCATCCCAGGGGATCCAGGGGGTGGGAGCAGCTCCAATCCCATCCCAGGGGATCCAAGGGGTGGGAGCAGCTCCAATCCCATCCCATGGTGTCCCATCCCACCCCTCCCGTGTCCAGGCCCCCCCTGGACTCACTCTCCCATGTATCCCTTGGAGATGGAGTGGAAGGAGGCCAATTCCACCGACTCTGAGTAGGGAGGTCCCAGCTGCATCAGCACCTTCTTGAAGGAGTGGAAGGCGGAGCCCTCGGCGTAGACGTTGTCCTGGTACACCTGGGGACACCCCGGGGTGTCACCTGGAATTCTGGGCCCCCCGGGGGGGGCAGGGGGGACACCCCCAGGATCCCATTCCCGACCTCGTCAGCCAGCAGGAAAAGCTTCTCCTCGTAGGCGAACTTGATGACGTCCTCGATGCACTCCCGGCTCTGCACCTGGCCTGGGAACGCAGAGGGAATGTGGGAATGAAGGGATGGGGGGCCAGGCCAGGCAGGGAACTGGGATCCCAGTCCAGCCCAGGGGTCCCAATCCCAGCCTGGGGGTCCCAATCCCAGTCTATCAGTCCCAGTCCAGCCCAGGGCTCCCAATCAGCACAGCACAAATCCCACTCCATACCCTATCCCAGTACCCCATATCCTGTTCCCAGTACCCCATTTCCATAATCCCATTACCTGTGGGGTTCCCTGGGTTGATGATGCACAGTGCCCAGCCCATACCCCATATCCCATATTCCCATAACCCGTATCCCATATCCCATATCCCATATCCCATATCCCATATCCCATATCCCATATCCCATATCCCATTACCTGTGGGGTTCCCAGGGTTGATGATGCACAGTGCCCAGCCCATATCCCATATCCCATATCCCATATCCCATATCCCATTCCCATTATCCCATATCCCATATCCCATATCCCATATCCCATTACCTGTAGGATTCCCGGGGTTGATGATGCACAGTGCCCAGCCCATATCCCATATCCCATGTCCCATATCCCATATCCCATTACCTGTGGGGTTCCCGGGGTTGATGATGCACAGTGCCCGGGGGCAGCAGCGCCTCCTGCCCTCAGCCAGCGCCCTCCTGAGCTCGGCCACGTCGAGGGCCCATCCTCGCTCCTCATTAAGGTAATAATTGACCTGCACGGCCTCCAGCTCGGCCAGCGCCGCCGAGTACAGCGGGTACTGCGGGATCGGGATCATCACCCCCGTCCGAGACTGCCCCGAGCCCGCCACCAGCAGCTTCAGCATGTTCTGTGGGCACAGAGACCCCGGTCACACCCCCCTGTCCACCCATGACTGCCCCGAGCCCGCCACCAGCAGCTTCAGCATGTTCTGTGGGCACAGAGACCCCGGTCACACCACGGGGCACGGGGGGGACACGGCACAGGGGGTGTGGGGACAGCGGGGGGACAGCACTGGTGTGGGAGTGGGGACAGGGAGGGGACAGCACTGGTGTGGGAGTGGGGACAGCACTGGTGTGGGGATGGGGACAGGGAGGGGACAGCACTGGTGTGGGGATGGGGACAGGGAGGGGACAGCACTGGTGTGGGAGTGGGGACAGGGAGGGGACAGGGGGCTTAGGACAGAGGGTGTGGACATGGGGACAGTGTGGGGATACCACGGGGACATCATGGGGACACCACTGGTGTTGGGGTGGAGACAGGGAGGGGACATGGTTGATGTGGCCATGGGGACATGGGGACAGTGTGGGGTCACGACAGTGGCAGAATGGGGACGGTGAGGGGACAGGCATGG